TGGGGGGGGGGGGGAGGAGAGAGGGAAGAAAAATCAAGAGTGAACTACTTCATTTAGGTAAAAGCATGCAAGAGAACACACAAATTGTGCAGCACCTGAAACACTAGTCTGTTGTTACCTTTTCCAAAACCATTTGCTCACATGTAAGAATGACTGTATTTGCCTTCAAAATCATGCTGCTAAGAATTGACACTAGGAGTACACAACATAAATCGATTTTGAGGTACTTACAAAAGCAAGTTAGAAAAACTAGCCTATTAATAGAATGCACATTTACCCAGGACTGATACCACCTACTAAATTAAGAACTTACGCTCTGTGTATTATTCAATACTCTTGAAATATGTGGATGCTGTTTGAGAAGTCTAATGCGAGTATCCTATTAAATATACTTCCGTGCATTAGGTGCAATTGGTAAGTTTGAGCCAGTTCTGCTTTGACAGAGTATCTTAGCTATGCAACACAAAGTAATGATTTCATCTTTGTTTTGGGATCACTTATACCAATTTGTATTTTTCTTCTTACAGATGTTCATTTACAACAAAGAAGCTGGCAAGAACCGCGGAATTCAGATTCTAATCAGTCTTAAGCACACATATCCCACTTGAAGTCAATAAAGGGATTTTAGTTTGAGTGGGCTATTTCTTCACAAGCAGGTTATGACTTGCAGTTCTTTTGCTTTCTTTTCTAAAAAAAATCAAAAAAAACCAAACCGAACAGGAAATTGTTTAGCGTGTAGAAGACATAACAGTTTTTAAACACAAGCACATCAACCATGTAGACAGCAACCACATCTGCAACAAAATATTCTGTAAAGATTAGCTTAAAAACATAGTGATAACCTTCTTCTTACTTCCCTTCTCACACTGAAATGAAACTAACTCTGTTACCATTTTGAATAATTTCTCTTATACTATGAGGATGGCCAAACTATATATGCAACTTCTTCAGTATAAAATAAATAAAATCAACTATCAGTTTAACATCAGTTCAACTCTTTAAAGTATAATCAAGAAGCTACAAAATCCTGAGATTCATGCTTATCAGGAGCTCTATTATCAAAATCCTGCTCAGATGAAAATTTCATTCTTCTGTATCAGTTTATGATCTCTGCTGTACAGATTACTGTACAGTCTGTCAGTACTTCTCAAACAGTAAGAATGATTCTCAAGATGCTTTTCAACCTATTTCCTATAATGAAGAAAATTACAAGGTCTGTTGACAGTCACAAGCTACAACTAGATCTGCAAGTCACTAGATACAGCCAGCTATATATCTAATGAAGTAGTAAGTCATTCACTGACAGACTTTACTACCAAAATGGTACATGACAGATATTGCAAAGTATACATTTTACAATCTACTCTGATCATAGCAGTCATGAAGCCACTTCACCAATAATCAAGACTAGCCTGAACATGTAGCTACGGGGGTAGATACTACTACTCAACCTACACTACTGTCACATGCTGTCCAGAAAATGTGAAGGAAGTTGATAATGCATTGTTTTAAATGTATTTACAGGAAGATCTAGAACTACTGAAGGTCTGAGAACTACCATTCCATAAGAAAACATCTCTGAAAAAGCTGTTCTGTTCACTGTATTGTCTTTACTACTGTAACAAGTGTACTTTGAAAACTGTTGACAGCTTTTAAAATGTATTGCTTAATTCTTGCTACCAAAGAAAAGGGGAGAGGTGGAAGAAAGGGAAGGAAGGTGTTAGCCATCCAACCACCTTTTAAAAATTTACACTAAAAACCATGATCTAAGTTTTGAACAACTCCCATTCACGAGGAGATCATTTCCAGAAACATCTAAGGAAGTGATCATAGTGATCAGTTTTGAAACTGGAGTACATTTAACATGTAGCGATAGATCACTAGATGCCCAAACCCATACAAGCTTTACAACACAAGCGTAAGGTATTTTGTATGCAACACACTATTCACTAAGAACCAAGTGCCTACTATGCTTGCACTTCATGGCAATCTTCCATGTCTTTCACTTGGCCTATCACGAATGAACTATGGTTAGTGCCTACCTGCTTTTAGAAATCACATTTGAACTACGCAGCAAAACCTTAAGGCAACAGACACAAAACTAAACCCAGTTCCTTTTCTGGGTAGGATGAGGAAACATTCAGACATACACACTTACCATCACTCTCTGCCCTGACTAGCAGGGACATGCCCTTGAGCCTCTCCACGTAGCAAGAGGACACATGCCCTGTGCCTCGATCGTCCCACTGGCGGTCCTCATTTAGCGTGTAAACCTTCACCCTCCGCCGGGTGTCAGTCATCCTGCCGCCTGCCACAACACAGCCACCGCTCTGGCTTGCAATTGTTGGAGAAGCAGGAGGCTAGTCGGCGGCTAGGCCCCCCTCAAAGGAGGGGAGCGGGAGAGAAGATAGCAGCCCCACACGGGCACACCAAGCAAGCTTTTCTTACTCCTCTTCAGTGCTCCAAGGGACTCCTCATTATCGAGGGTTATAGGATTGGGGGGGACGCAAAGGAAGAAGGGGAATGAGAAAAGAGGTGAAGATGGGAAAGGGGAGCTGCTCTAGGCACCGTCAGGAGCTGCACAAAAGACGAATAAGCCTGCGCAGGGGAGAGCCGCAGAGAGGAGAAAGGCTCTTTCCAGGGTGAAGGGCAGGCAGGAGAGGCGGTAAAGAAGGGATCCTGGAGGAGAAGCGGATCCACGGGAGTGGAAGCAGC